CTGCTCATGAGTCGCCTGAGCCATCCTGGTCCTTGTTCAGGGTGCCTTCTTCTCTTCCCCTCAGTTTGTGGTAGCCCCTTCGGTTTCAGTTTCCTCCTCTTTGGTACTGGTGGTAGCTTTATTGGTGTGCAGCCTTTCTCTGTCCTGGCGACGGTCGAGACGGCTGCTTTCCGGAGGGGTTCTTGGGGTATTGGTACTTGTTTGGTTTGGCCGGGGGGTGCGTCCTGTGTTGTCCAGTTGTGCTTTTTGCTGTTGCCGGCGTACCGTGCCTGGGGATGCGCTGTGGTTGATCCGGTTCCTTCGTTCCCTGTTTTCAGGGCTCGGGTCTCCCGGGTCGTCCGCAGTGTTTTCCTTCTTACTGCGGTCTGTCTTTGCGCCCGTGCTGTTCAGACGTTTACAGCAATTGCTGCTGTGTTGGTGACGTCTCGGGCTCATTTCGGGCGCAGGGAATTGTGGGTCGCACAGGTTTTTGGCCGCCCATCCATGTGTGCGTCTGTTCTTGGGCGTTCTTGTTGCCTTGGGTCGCAGGTTTGCGACCGGTTGTCTTGGCTTTGCGTTGCAGAGTTTGTGGCGGCCGCCTCCCGGGTTAGCCCTTTCTTTTCCTTCTCTTTGGGTATGAAGCTCCAGGGAGCCGTAGGGGCTCCCCACAGAAAACCAGCGTTGAATGTAATGAAACGCCATTTTCTGGGTGAGCCCCGGAGGCTCCCTGGAAACCCTCCCTCCCACCGGTCGGCGGTTTTTTCGCGTTGGTTGAGGCTTAGCTTCCGAACTGGAGCTTGGCAGCCGGCGCGGTAGGTCCGGGGCTCCCCCCTCCCCCTCCCGGGGTGGGGAGGGCTGCGCGGACGATCGGCGCGGCAGTAAAGTGTGATGTTTGCTTGTTTGCTTGTTTCCTTGGGATTGTAGGGAGTTTTCTACCTCTCTGTTCGGTTTTTGTTGTAGTTTCTTACCATGTGGGGTTTGTTTTGTTACGCCTACCTTTCTGGGTGCCTAACCCCGGTCGATGGCAGATAAGGAAAACCCCCAACCATATGGGGTTTTCCAGGGCCATTGCTCCCTGAAACCTCTCTGAAGGGGCCAGGTTCTGGCGCTGGTCCCTGGTAGGTCTGAACTCCTTAGCTAATGTCCCGGTCTAACATAACACACATTAGCCCGATAAGCTCCAGGGAGCCTCCGGGGCTCACCCAGAAAATGGCGTTTCATTACATTCAACGCTGGTTTTTTGTTGCCTTTCCTAGTTTGTAATTGGCAATTGGTGTATTTACGCATCTTTACCAGATCTTGGTGCCCTGTCTGAGTCTGCTTGGGATTCGGTGTCTGGCCTACCTTGACGACTGGCTGGTGTGGCTCCCAGTTGGTCTGCTTATCTGCTAATCAAGTGTGTGGTTCTTTCCAGATCGCCGGGTTCGGTTTCCTGGTGATCTGGAGGCCGTTCCATCTGTTTTCGTCCCAGGTTTGGACCTGGCTGGGTCTTGTTTAGGGCTCTTGGGCCGCTCCTTGTATTTCCCTCCAGAAGTGTTGCTGCGGCTGTGGTCCTGCCTTTGGCTGTTTATGAGGTGGTCCCGGGCTGCTCGGCAATTGCTCGAGCGGTTGTGCGGGAGTCTGAACTTAGACATGCTGGTCTGCCCGCAGGATCGGGTTTGGCTTCGGCGTCCGTTTGGTTCCTTCGGAGACTCCCCTTCTGCTTCTCTTGCAATTGTTGAGTTCGTTCTCCGGGGATCTTGTGTTGGCGCTGCGTCACCAGCTTCCTCTTTGGGGTTTTCAGGGTTCTGAGCCTTGGCACCTCCTTGAGCCTTCACTCGATGTGTTCACGAACGGGTCATCTCTCGGCTGGGACTTTGTGACCAGTGCTCACCAGGTCGACCGGGGATGGTGGAGCCTGTCCGTACGTCGGGCTCATAGCACGGTTCGGGAGTTCATGGCTGTCTGGTTTGCGCTTCGGAGGTTTGGGGTCACTCGGTGCTCTACCATCCACCTCCATTCAGACTGTTCTCTGGCGATTCTTTGCCGGAACCACAGGGTTTCTCTTTGGTGTTTGACCTTTGGGGATGGTCCCTTTGAGTGGCTTGTTTGCTGTATTCTCGGGGTTTGGCTAACCGTGAGGTTCATGTCCAGGGTGTGTCCTACTGCCTGGCGGACAGCCTGTCTTGGTTCATTTCTCTGTTCGCGGATTGGCCAGTCGTCGCTGACTCGTTTCATTGGCTCTGCCGGACATATGGACTCCTGGCCATGGACATCTTCACGTTGGCATGGTCTAGGCATCGCCCATTCTTTATGGTGCCCTTAGCCACCTGCGAGGCGCTCATGGTGGATGCCTTTCGGCAGGACTCGTCGAGGTGGGGGTACCTGTTCCTCTTCTCCCGGTCCAGCTGTTGCTTCGGGTTCTGGCTCGGTTGGAGTCCATTCCCAAGGAGAGTGGTCCTCATGGTCCCTTGGTGGCCGGCCCAGCTTTATTTTCAGATGCTGCTTGATAGGTGTCCGAACCCGGGGCGTTTTTCCGCGGCTCCGGCTCTTTCGCCAGGTCGGACTGGTCCTGTACGTTACTGGTTCGGCCTTCTCCTCGGCTCTTTGCGTCTGGTATTTTGACGCGGGTATCACCATCTCTATGGTGATCAGGTGGCTTTGTTGATGGTGTCCCACCTGAGAGCTTCTTCTCGGCGACAGTATGACGTTCCTGGTGTTTCTATGCATCTTTTTTCTTGCTCTTCGTAGGTTGTCTTCTCTTTCGCATCGGGTTGTCTTGTCCTTTCTTGGGTTTTCAGGACTACAGTTACTGTATTTGACGTTTCTTACTGTCGCCTCGTTTTATGCGACGCTGGCGGAGCCGCTCCGGCTTGCATTCGGGGTGGACGTCACATCTGCCCCGTTCCGTACCCTTTCTCGTGTTTTGTTTCACCTCCGGCCTGCTCATGCTTCGCCTGAGCTATCCCGGTCCTTCATCAGGGTGCCCTCTTATCATCATCGCCTCAGTTTGTGGTAGCCCCTTCGGTTCAAGTTTGGTTTTCATAGGCCATATTTTGTTGGCATGGGCCTCTGCGGGTCGGGTTGGGGAGCTTCCGGCTCTTCCGGTGCAGAGGCTTCTGCTCTTTGGTACTGGTGGTAGGTTTGTACGTTTCCAGCTTTTCTCCGTCCTTCTGCCGACAGTCGAGACGGCTGCTTTCCAGAGGTGTCCTTGGGTTCTTGATGCTTGATTGGTTCAGCTGGGGGTGTGTCCTGTGGGTTCCAGTTGCGCCTCTTTGCCGTTACCTGTGTACTGTGTCTGGGGATGCGTTTTGGGTTGATTAGGTTCCCCTCATTCTCTGTTTCAGGGCTCGGGTCTCCCAGGTCGTCCGCAGAGTTTTTAAGTCTTCCAGCCTACGGTCTATCCTTGCGCCCGTGCTGTTCGGACATTTGCAGCTTTCGCTGCTGTGCTGGTGATGTCTAGGGGCTCATTTCGGGCGCAAGGATTTGAGGGTTGCACAGGTTCCTGGCTGCCCGTTCTTTGTGCGCGCGTCTGCTCTTGTGCGTTCTTGTGTTGCCTTGGGTTGCAGGTTGCAGCCTGTTGTCTCGGCTTCGCGTTGCGGAGTTTGTGGCTGCCATCTCCCGGGTCAGCCCTTTCTTTTCCTTCTCTTTGGGTATAAAGCTCCAGGGAGCCGTAGGGGCTCCCCAAAGAAAACCAGCGTTGAATGTAATGAAACGCCATTTTCTGGGTGAGCCCCAGAGGCTCCCTGGCAACCCTCCCTCCCACCGGTTGGCAGGTTTTTTCGCATTGTTTGAAGCTTAGCTTCTGAACTGATGCTAGGCAGCCGGCGTGGTGAGGTCCGGGGCTCCCCCCTCCCCCTCTCGGGGCGGGGAGGGCTGCGCAGACGATCGGTGCGGCAGTAAAGTGTGATGTTTGCTTGTTTGCTTGTTTCCTTGGGATTGTAGGGAGTTTCTACCTCTCTGTTCGGTTTTCTGTTTTAGTTTTTTACCATGTGGGGTTTGTTTTGTTATGCCTACCTTTCTGGGTGCCTAACCCCGGTCGATGGCAGATAAGGAAAACCCCAACCACAAGGGGTTTTTCCAGGGCCATTGTTCCCTGAAACCTCTCTGAAGGGGGCAGGTTCTGGCACTGGTCCCTGGTAGGTCTGAACTCCTTAGCTAATATCCCGATCAAATATAACATTCATTAGCCCGATAAGCACCAGGGAGCCTCCGGGGCTCGCTCAGAAAATGGTGTTTCTTTACATTCAACGCTGGTTTTTTGCTCCTCGGCTTGTGTTTTTATTGTTCATCACACAGGCAAAACCTGGCCATACTGTTTTCTTTCAGGTTAATTGCTTCTCGAATTGGACAGCTTCATCTTCCAATGCTCCGTTGTAAGGTAACATCACTTAGCTACTGAGAGGACCCTACCATAAATTCCTTGTTTATTATAATGAAATGTCTCTGGTGGGTCACTCGGTAGCTCTCCATCCCTGTCCTGTTCCCTCCTCACCCTTGGGAGCTGGTAAGGTTTTCTCATTGGGTGACTTGTGAATGAGCGAGGTAGACTGCTGGCTGGTTGTGAGCAAGTGTTACAAGATGGTGATTTAGTTATGGTAACAATTATTTACATTCCTGTCATCAGGATTAAACATTTTTCCAAGCAATTGCTTGTTTTAGTGCTGAAAATTTTGGTGATGAATTCTTATTTTGTGGTGATTTCTGACCCCTGGCTCCCTTTAGCCTCTTTAATGGGCCAGATTATGGTCCTAGCTCCAATAGTTGATCACGGGTGGAGGCCAAGACCGTCAGTAGTTTCGAAGCGTTATTTGACAAAGAGTGCTGGGAAGACGGGACACTATGAGCGTAGCTCTCATCCTGTAGCTACACTTAGGTAATTATGGGTGCACAGAAGCTTAGTGTGGTTTTTAAGGCTTGTACATTTCCTGTCATAGCTTCGGGAAACTGTTAAGTGACCCTGACATTTTTTTATTTCAGAATTTTTATAATATCTTCAGTTACATTTTCCAGTAAAATATTCATTGTTATTTTCTTTTTAGGAAATGCATGACTTGGAGAAAGAGTTGCAAGTGCTTTATACCAAGGAACAGAATGCTAAACAGGAAGAAGTGGATGCTGCAAGAGCTTCTGCTGCTACCAGGTCAGTTTTACAGAATACAGTATTTCTGGGGGAGCCCCCCCACGACTCCCGGAGTTATCCAGGCTGATAAGGATACCCTAACTTTTATCATCAGTCAATGATGCCCTCAGAGAAGCATTAGGAGCAATGGCCCATAGAAATGCACGTCATTTTTTAACATTCTATATCTGCCATCGATCAGGACAGGCACCCAGAAAGGTAAGCTCAAAACAAACCCATATTCTGGTGAAAAACTATGAAAATAGACAAACTAGTGGACAGAACTCCCCAAATGAAAACGAGCAAACAAACATGACATCACACAAGTCGTGCCGTACATCTGCGCAGGTCCCCCTTGCTCGGGAGGGAAAAGGAAGAGTCACAGACCCCCTGTGCCGGCAATCCACACCCCAGTTCTTCAGCTGATGGGATATGGTGAAGTCGTGTGACTCCAGCTCCGGACTCTTGTGCTGTGCTGTCCTCTCTTTCAGTACTGCTCTGACGGTGGTGTGTGAGCTGGGAGTAATATTCTAAGGTACTTGGGCTGCAAGGTACTTTGGGTCACCTTCCCTAAGTGCCCTGTAAGTACCACCCTTGGGGGCTCGGAGTTATCTTCTGCAAGTCACCTTGGGTCTACTGCTATTGGTCTTTTGCTGCTTGGTAATTGTCCACCCCAATTGTTTTATGGGGTTTCTGCCCTTGTTTACCTTGGGGTAAGTGGTAGTTATTGCACTGGTGGGGTGCGGGAAACTGCGCAGCTAGTTTTCACCTGTTACAGCGGCCGGCTTTATTCCTCCTGGGCACGTTATCCTCTTGTGGGGTTTGTCTTTTCCTTCTGTTTTGGCCTGGTAGGGGGAGGTCTGCTTTGTGTCCCTTGCTCCTGTTTAGTTAGGGTGTTGACTTGAGTTCAGTGGCACACCCCCCTGCTTCTCCCCTGTAAGTGGATATGTCCTGGAGGCTCAGCTTTAGCATTTTGTTTGGTAGACTTGGGTGCCAGTTAGCAGTACCCTGCTTGGGATTACCCTTAGCAGACCCAGTCTAGGGGTCCTGGGAAACCCCGCGGGGGCTCTCGGGGTCCGATGGATGCGACTCCTGCATCCACTCTCACTTTGTGCGAGTTTGAGAGTTGCTCTGTTCCCTTGTCTCAGTGTGACGCTCATTGTTTTCTGGGGGAGCCCCTCCAGCTCCCCGAAGCTTATCCAGGCTGATATGCTAATGTCAGACTTTGGCATCAGTCATGTGTATGGAGTTCTATGGGCCTACTGGGGACCACGAGCCAGAACCTGACACCCCTCAAAGAGGCAAGGGAAGCAATGACCTATAGAATCCTCCGTGTGGTTGGAAGCATTCTGTGTCTGCCATCAACCGGGTCAGGCACCCAGAAAGGTAAGCGTCCCAAAAAAAAAACCCTATTCTGGTGAAAATTGCTACACACCCCGAACAAGTGGATAGAACTCCCCTAAAAGAAACAAGCAAACAATCATGACGTCACATGTCGCCACATCGCTGTCTGCGCAGTTTCCCCCTTCTTGGTAGGGAGCCCCACAGACCTACCACACCAGCTATCCACCATTAGTTCTTCGGCTGATGCTAGAGGCTGAAGTTGTGTGCTCTGGCTCCGGTGGTTGTTTCAGCACTGTACCTAGAGTATGGTGACTGTCTTCTAGGTGGTGCGTGAGCCGGGAGTGATTCACCAGTACTCGGGCTGCATGTGCCTAAGGTTTCCTTCCCTAGGTGGCCTGTAAGTACTGCCCTTGGGGCTTGGAGCCACCTTCCACAAGTTCCTTGGGTTCTGCCTCTGCTAGGCCGTTTACTGCTTGGTTTTCGACCACCCTTTGTATGCTCGGGTGTTCTGTTTTCCTTGTTCACCTTAGGGAAAGGGGCAGTTTAGCACTGGTGGGGCACAGGGTACTGCGCAGCTTGTCTTAAAAAATTATGGCGGCCGGCTCTGTTCCACCTGGGTATGCTGTCCTCTTGCGGGGGTTTTCTTTTTTCTTTTGTTTATCTGCCTGGGTGGGGGGGGGGGGGGGGGGGGGGTCTGCCTTCGTTTTTGCCTCCTGTGTATCCTGTGTACTGAGTGTTCTTCCTTCTTCCGGTGGTTCCTCCTGCTAGGTCCCCATTAGTGTGCATGTCCCGGGGTTTCAGTTCTTAGAAGGTTGTTTGGTAGATTTAGGCGCCGGTTAGCAGTACCCTGCCTGAGATCACCTGCGCGCGTATCCTATTATAGTAAATGCTCAGGACCCTGGGAAACCCCTGGGGGCGCGCAGGTCCGATGGATGTGACCCTGGAGTCCCCCCCTCTCTTCCAGCGAGTTTGAGGGTTGTTCTCACCCCTTGTCTCCGGATGACACTCTGTCTTTGCCTCCATCTGCTGCCTGGGGGGACAGTGACACCTTTGGCCCAGAGTCCAGCGAGTTTTGTTGCTTGTTTGTGACTCGGTTACCCAGTCTTATGCTGACTATGTGGCTACAGGCAGCACGGGCATTGCACTTTGAGCTTCGATGGTGGCAATGCTCTCGGTTGTTTGCTCCCCGGAAGCCCCGAGGCTGCCCCGTTTTGGTTGGTGTTGGGGCTTGGGGGTGTTGATTGCTCTGGAATTCTTATTGTATCTGGTTCCCTGAAGATTTCGTTTTGTACAAACACACTTTGGAACTTTTCGTTTAATGTTTCACACATTTCCTTTTCATTTTCTGTGAACCTATTTCCCATTTTCAACCTCTGAATATTATCCTTTACCTGCAATTTGTTGTTTATGAATTTATAGAATAGACCTGGTTCTGTTTTACATTTGTCTGCAATCCCTTTTTCAAAATTTCTTTCTGCCTCTCTCCTCACTGCCGTGTAGTTGTTTCTCGCATCTTTGTATCGCTGGTATGTTTGGGGGTTCGGCCTCTTCCTGTATTGACTGTGTGAGGTCCTATGTCTTTGTGCCTTTACTCACCATAAAAGCTTAGATGTGTAGTTATAGTGAACAAAACATGTAAATACTTATATATAACGTCTGTATATAAAAGCAAAAACAGTATGGTGGGAGGAGAATGGTGGCAAGTCAGGTGAGGTGAGGGAGGGAGGGAGTGGCAGCCAGTGGCGGGCTGCCATTGGCTACCACTGCCACTCAGCATACCAACTTAGTGGTTTGTTATGGTGAACACGAATGTAGATACTTATATATAGCATCTGTATATAGTGAATAAAAGCAAAAACAGTATGGTGGGAGGAGAATGTGGGCGAGTGAGGTGTTGAGGGAGGGAGTGAGTGGCTGGCTGGAATGTGGCGGTCACTCCACTTTTTGACTCATAATAGCAACTTAGTGATTTGTTATGGTAAACAAAACATTCAGATACTTATATATAACCTGTGTATATAGTGTAACAACCGACAAAGTATTTGTTCACTGTTTGATGAACATAATTGAATCAATAATATGGACACCATATTTTTGAGTACAGTGATGATTCATTCATTTTATTATATAAATATATCACACTACACACTATTAAATAATATTACAACAACAAAAACTATGAAAAATCAATTAGAGACATTGAAATAATTAGGTAATTATCTCTTTGTGGCAACTCCGGCCTGACAGCTGGCGAGCAACAGACTGCCTGGGACGCATGCTGAGTCAGCGCCTATAATTTGCCAGACTTCCCCCGCCCTATAGTGGGCAATATATGCCACGTACGATTTTTTTTATTATTTTTCCCATGATCAGTGAACACAAATTAACAGGTTAGGAAGATTTTTTTTTTTTTTTTTTTTTTTTTTTTTTTAATGCATCTGTGGGTGTCAAATGGTATATAGCCATGCGCCATTTAAGGGTTAAGGAGGACATTGCTGCTTTGGAGAAAGTACAACACTGGTGACAAATATCATTTAAAAAATCTTGTACCTGAAAAAGTTGGGAGCCTCAGGGCTAACAGCATTGCAAACCAGGCATAACAGGGCAGATCTCATTTAAACTTTTAAAATGCTGAACAACTTGGAGGATGTTGATCCGGACAATTTCTTCATAAGTTGATATGTAACGTAAACAAGGAGCAATGCTTTCAAGCTCAACAAGCCACAATGTTGGACTGAGAATAGGAGATGCTTTATCACCCACAGGGTTATAAACCCATGGAACCGCCTACTCACCAAAGCCGTAAATGCCAAATCTGTTAAATTTTAAAATCCAACTGAAAAAAATCATCCGGGCAAATATGGAAGAAAATGCAAGATTGTACCAGTGAAGAGCAGATGTGCCATAGGCACAATCAGAGAGCACTGTATAAACATCAGAGGTCCGCGGTTGTTCAACGTCCTCCCAGCGACTATAAGAAATATTGCCGGAACAAATGTGGACATCTTCAAGAGAAAACTGGACTGTTTTCTAAGAGAAGTTCCGGATCAGCCGGGCTGTGGCCCTGCGGGCCACTCCAAGCAACAGCCTGGTGGACCAAACTCTCACAAGTCGAGCCTGGCCTCGGGCCGGGTTTGGGGAGTAGATGAACTCCCAGAACCCCATCAAGCAGGTATCAAGCAGGTAATGGGGGACCTTTGACAAGCTGCTGGATTCCTGTTCTTGTCAAGGCCACTAGAGTGTTATTAGCCCTCGGGTAAGATTCAGGTAAATGCTTTCTGAGTTGTATACATTGTATTTCAACATCATTCTGCCTGATAGGGAATTTTAGAATTGGCTATACCTGTACAGTACTCTAATTGTTTTTATTAATAAACTCTATCTTAAAGTTTCATTTGACTTTTCAGTGGATTTCCTTGTCATTAATATGAGCATATATAAACTGGTTCATGTTTGGCCATTGGCATATTATTAGGATTCTCTAAGCTATTTAATAACTAAAGTGATACTCAACAAAAGTTGCAGCAATTAATAATTAATGTCTGTTGCACAAGTCAAGTTATAATCAAGAGAAAGGTTAAGTCTCTGGGTTTGATGTCCATGATGTTTCCCTTACAGGTCATGGACAATACTTGCCAGTAATTATCAAAGACCTAGATGTGGGGGTGTAGTCAGCTGTTAGAATAGGTGGATCTTCCATATAATTACCCTTGGCACCATATTCTGCCAGTACATGTACTGTATTCCAGTACGGTGTTTCAATCTTCACTCCCGTGGGTTCTGGCTGTGGCTTTCACTGAAGGTGTGGGCTGTGACTTTTCACTAATAGTTATTTATATATATATATATATATATATATATATATATTATATATATATATATATATATATATATATATATATATATATATATATGTCGTACCTAGTAGCCAGAACGCACTTCTCAGCCTACTATTCAAGGCCCGATTTGCTTAATAAGCCAAGTTTTCATGAATTAATTGTTTTTCGACTACCTAACCTACCTAACCTAACCTAACCTAACTTTTTCGGCTACCTAACCTAACCTAACCTATAAAGATAGGGTAGGTTAGGTTAGGTAGGGTTGGTTAGGTTCGGTCATATATCTACGTTAATTTTAACTCCAATAAAAAAAATTGACCTCATACATAATGAAATGGGTAACTTTATCATTTCGTAAGAAAAAAATTAGAGAAATTATATTAATTCAGGAAAACTTGGTTTATTAGGCAAATCGGGCCTTGCATAGTAGGCAGAGAAGTGCGTTCTGGCTACTAGGTACGACATATATATATATATATATATATATATATATATATATATATATATATATATATATATATATATATATATATATATATATATATATATATATATATAATATATATATATATATATAATATATATATATATATATATATATAATATATATATATATATATATATATATATATATATATATATATATATATATATATATATATATATATATATATATATATATATATATATATATATATATATATATATATATATATATATATATATATATATATATATATATATATATATATATATATATATATATATATATATATATATATATAAAATATTTATTGGTGGCACGTAGTTACAAATTTACAAAAGTAGAAAATGTTATATTTGTAATATTACACATGGCCCATTTTGAAGGACCTGATTGAACATCATATGATAAGAAAAAGGTTTTCTAGGCACATAGACTCCTGGTTTCTTATTGTATTCTAGGCTATATTTTAGTGGATAGACTACTATTACTTAGCACAGACAAAGGGGGTGAAATCAGTAAAAACATTTAAATTGGGATTAAAGTTGCTGTTCTGTATTATGTTTGTTACATATATAATGTGGTAATCATTGATCAGACTTTGAGAATGAAGGCTAAGCTGTGTTTCAGGAGCAGCAATAACACAGCAGCAGCAGCAGCAGCAGCAGCAGCAGCAACAGCAGAGCTAGAGAAGAGTTTGAACGAACTGTTACGAGAAAGACAAGCAGAAATTAAGAGGGAGCATAACAAACAGTTGGCTATTTTGAGAGATGAATTAGATAAGATACTTGAGAAGACAGCAAGAGAGGCTAAAGAAAAGGTATGAAACTTCTGTTGTACTATGTTTACATATTGGTTAGGATAAGCATAAAATTAAGATCTTATTTTGCTGGAAACAAAGTAGTACCCTACTACCCCAGGTGGGTTCGGGCATTCCACGGGATTGCGAGGGAGAGCGCGGTAAATTCTGAAAAGTATATAGTCTTTTCAACTTTGTCAGCTCAATTCTCGTCCTAAGATATTCAATTTGGTATCAATATGTTCGCAATAGAATTCTCTACAGAACTAAATGCAAATAAACTCCAAAAGCCCGGCTTACCATCCGCAACTAACAGAAAGTGAGAGAAAGTTACCCGGGAGCGCACAAGAGTGATAAAATGTTTACACTCTTTTCAGTTTTGTCAACTTAATTCTCGTCCTAGGTCTTTCATTTTGGTATCAACGTGTTCGCAATAGAAGTCCCAACAGGACTATGCATATAATGTCAAAAACAGCAGCGATCTCCACCCGCCGACATGATGAAAACGGGCTGCGGTTACAAGAGAGCGCTGCGCCACCCCAAGGCGCCTCTCATTATGAAAAGTGTACATTTTCAACTTTGTCATCTCAATTCTCGTCCAAGGTTTTTAAATTTGGTATCAATGTGTTCGCAATAGAATTCTCTACAGGACTACATGAATATAAATCCTAAAAGCCCGGCGAGAAAGTGAGAGAGTCTTACCCAGGAACTGGCAAGAGCTCTCTCTTCACTTTGGACATCTCAATTCTCGTCCTAGATCTATCATTTTGGTATCATTGTGTTCGCAATAAAATTTTCTACAGGCATATATGCAAATATTAAGTCCAAAAGCCCGGGGTACCACCCGCAGCAAACAGAGAAAGTGACGAAGCATTACCCCTGTGAGCGCTAATAAAGAGCAATAAAATGGGTATTCTGTTTGCAACTTTGTTACTTCAATTCTGGTCCTAGGACTTTCATTTTGGTATCAATGTATCCGCAATGAAATTCCTTAAAGGAGTATATGCATATAATGTCCAAAACCGCAGCAAGACCTTCCCAAAAATGCCGCTACTGTTACCGTACCGACGATTCAATGCTGAGTCATCGCTGGACTTGCCCCTGTTTTATGGACGACTCGGCATTGAGTCGTCGCCGAACGGAAGTGTTTCTGGCCTCCTTGATAGAGGCATAGGAAAGCAGGGGACACAAGGTCACCACAGTACTAAAGAAAAAACTACAATAAAGATAGTGCACCAAATCAAGCAAATTCTTGGAGAACTTTTGCAACTGGATTTTGGAGTAAACATGGCTGCACCCTCTTCAAACCCTGCTGTTTGGGGAGCTCCTTGTGGTTCACTGACACTACAGTGCTGATATAGTGCCAGACTACTAAGTGCTGTCAGTTGCGGAGTTTTTGTTTTAGGCCTACCAGAGACCATGAGCCAGAACTTGGCTCCCTCTAAAGAAGTGCAGAGAGCAATGACACTATGATAAAACTGTCAGTGAATTATATTTATGCCCACCACCACTGGGGAAGCATCCACAAAGTCAGTGAAACAAAACAGACCACTGCTGGTTATAAAACAAGCAATGAATATAATTAAACGCCAATTTCAGGGTGAGGCCCGGTGGCTCCCTGCAGATATCATCTCTGATGTAGGTGCCATCTACTAGGTGCAATCAGTCGCGAAGCTCTTTGGCCTACCGGAAATCCAGAGCCAGAACCTGGTCCCCCTTAACCCTTAACATGCTCGGGGTCTAATATCCTGCCATCCCCACAGGCGCATGTCATTTTGAAAAAAAAAAATATTTTTTCTTTCTAACCTGTTAATTTGTGTTCACTGATCACGGGAAAAATAATACAAAAATCGTAAGTGGCATATATTGCCCGCTATAGGGCGGGGAAGTCTGGCAAATTATAGGCACTGACTCAGCGTGCATCCCAGGTGGTCTGTTGCTCGCAAGCTGTCAGGCCAGAGTTGCCACAAAGAGATAATTACCGAATTATTTCAATGTCTCTGATTGATTTTTCATACTTTTCTGTGGGGGAGCCCCTACGGCTCCCTGGAGCTTATCGGGCTAATGTATGTTATGTTAGACCGGGACATTAGCTAAGGAGTTCAGACCTACCAGGGACCAGCGCCAGAACCTGGCCCCTTCAGAGAGGTTTCAGGGAGCAATGGCCCTGGAAAACCCCATATGGTTGGGGGTTTTCCTTATCTGCCATCGACCGGGGTTAGGCACCCAGAAAGGTAGGCGTAACAAAACAAACCCCACATGGTAAGAAACTACAACAAAAACCGAACAGAGAGGTAGAAAACTCCCTACAATCCCAAGGAAACAAGCAAACAAGCAAACATCACACTTTACTGCCGCGCCGATCGTCCGCGCAGCCCTCCCCACCCCGGGAGGGGGAGGGGGGAGCCCCGGACCTACCGCGCCGGCTGCCAAGCTCCAGTTCGTTCGCTAATGTCAACCGGGATTGACGCTTCTCTGGCCTCAGTTTCCTAGGCGGTGTTTGCCTTGTGTGGCGTTCACTGCCGTGTGTTGTGGTGTGCGGTGGCCAGGAGTACTTCATCAGTGCCGGGGCTGCATGTGCTTAGTGGCTGACTTCCCTAAGCGCCCTGTGAGTACTGCCCTTGCGTAACAGGGTTATCTTCCCTGGGGCGTTCGGGAACCATTCCCGTAGAGGTTCTTGCTGCTCGGCATTTGCCTCGCCCTTGGGGCCAGCTGGGGCTTGGGGCCCTTGTTTGGCCCTGGGTAGGGATTGGTATTGTGCTGGTTAGGGCGTCAAGGTGTTGCGCAGCCTGCCACCTAAGCGGCGGCCGGTTTCTGTTGCCTCTGGAGACGGTGTACTTTTGCGGGGTTTTTCTTTTGTTTTTCATTTTTCATGCCTGGTGGGGGTCTGCCTAAGGTGGTTATAGTTCCACTGGTAGTGTTTGGCGGCCCTCTGCTAGGCCCCCGTGCTTGTACACGTCTCAGGGGTTTTCAGTGCTATAATCTACCCGCTTGTTATGTTTGGGTTTCTTAACCGGTTAGCAACACCTTGCCCGGGCTTCCCGTAGTTGTTACCCTACGGGCCCTGGAAACCCCTGTCTGGGCTCGGGGGACCATTGAATGTGTCTTCCGGGTTCCAACCCGTCTTGTACGGGATCGTTGGTTGCTGTTCCCTTGTCTCTGGGTGACAGTCGCCATTTTTACCTCCGTCATGCTGCCTGTTGGGTCACTGACACCTTGACCCGGAGTCTTGCGAGTGATTCTCTGCTTGTTCTCCAGTACTCTCCTGATGTTATTACTGTTCAGAGTACAGGCGGCATCCGTGTTGCAAGCTAGGTTAGGTTGCTGCAACATGCTAGGTTGGTTTCCCACTCGAATGCCCCGTGGCCGCCCCGTTTGGTTAGGTGCTGCTCGCCCCTTTCTCTGCATGTTCCCGGCTCCGGACCGTCTGCGGGTTTCGGGGTCGGGGCGGGGTTTAGTTGCGGCAGAGACTCGGGCGGTTTTCGGGGGCTGCCCCGTTCGGGTTGGGGACGGAGGTTTGAGCCTGTGCCTCCTGCCAAGGCTTCTGGGTCTTACCAGCGGCCCTTTCTTGTTGCCTTTCCCATGGACTCTTGCTTTTCTTTAAGGGCGGAGGGCTTGGAGGACGGCTCTGCCCCGGGGCCTCTGTTGTTGGTTCCCGGGGCTGTGGGGGTTGCCTGCTAGCAGTTCTGGGACGGTTTTGCCCCTTCCGGGGTTTTTCTGCTGTTGGGCGACGTTTTTCGCCCATCCAGTCTGCTAGCTTCCCACATTTGCTGGCGTTTTTGTGTATTTAGCGTCAGTCACAGCCCCTGCTGGCGTGTTTTTGTGTATTTAGCGTCAGTCACAGCCCCTGCTGGCGGCCATTTTCGTCTGCCGGTTTCACGGCGTGGCCACCAGGGCGGCGTTGTGGTTTATTTACATGCGTCTGGGTGTGCGAGCGAGCGTCTCTGGTGAGTTTTCAAAATTTTGTCAGGGTTTTTGTTCTCCTGTTGTCGTTTCTTTGTTTTTCTGGTGTTTTCTTGCCGTTGCCTGTTCCTCTGGGAACGTTTGGGTGTTGATTTTGGGTCTGAGCCTTTGGGTTTAGGCTCAGTGCCCCTGGCTGGTATGCTTGCTCCCACACCTTGCCCCTCGGTTTTCGGTCTGTTGGGACCGTTTTCCCAGGGCGTTCTGCTGGGGGCTGTGCTTTGCCTTTCAGTGGTGTTCTCCGCCGGCAAATGTGGTGGTTTGGGCTCCCCCTTGTTCGATTCTGGGTTCCTTTGGGTTCCTTGGTTTCGTTCTGGAGGTTTCTTCCTCTTGGGCCGCCTTTTGTGGGTTCAGGGGACTTTGTTTCCTCGTGTGACCCGGTTCTGCCTTTTGGGGTTCCGGGGTCTTCCTGGCTTGCAGACTGATCTTTTTGGGTCTTGGCACATGTTGTGGTTGTGCTGGGACTTTGTGGTTTTGCTGTCGAGGTGGGCCTTTTGATGCAGTTTTGTGCCTTCTTTGCCTGGCCGGCGTAGTGCTCTCTGCCACTAGTCGGCGACTTGTGCTTTTACAATATATGTCCTCACCTAGTTGTGCTTGTGGGGGTTGAGCTCTGGCTCCTTGGTCCTGCCTCTCAACCGTCTATCAACAGGTAATTACCTAAGTGTAAGGTAATTACCTGTTGATAGACGGTTGAGAGGCAGGACCAAGGAGCCAGAGCTCAACCCCCACAAGCACAACTAGGTGAGGACATATATTGTAAAGTGTATAGGTTCCTGTGCCTTTTGGGCTCTGTCATATCTCCATGTGACATGGTAAGGGGGTCAGCCTCGTTATTTGTGTGTGGAGTCACCGCATTACTTCCTAGTGCTTTCCCGTTCCCATTCTGACACTCAAAAAAAAAAAAAAAAAAAAAAAAAAATTAAATTCTATCTGTGGCTCTTTTGGGTACTCAGTTTCCACCTGTGTCCCCTAGTGCGTGTGCCCCTTGTGTTACATAGCCTGTCCTTATAAACCCTGTCGATTCCCTTGGGTATCTTGACTGTGGTGATCAGGTCTCCCCT